TCGTACGCGGCCGCTGCGGCCAAGCCTTCGACCTCGGGTCAGGCTAGCCGCAGCTCCCAACCGCTGGCAAGGGCGCGACCGGCTGCCCCGGCGAGGGCCTCGGCGCCCCCGCCGGCGCAGACCCCAGCTGCGCCGACGGCGCCAGCGCCCGCGGGGCGCAAGGAGAGGAGAGGCGCTCCAGCCCGGCAGGCTGGAGTTGCGGCAGCGGTGATGGAACCCGCCCCGCGAGCGGAGGACGGCGGCGGGTGGCAAATCGCCGGCGAGGCGAGGAGAGTCGCCAAGGAGGGCCGGAAGCGCCGCAAAAAGGCGCAGCGGCAGCGACGGCAGCAGCAGCGCAGGGAGAAACGCGCTGCTGCCTTGCTCCTCGCCCCCAAGACCGCGGCTGTAGTGATTACGCTACAGCCCGAGGCGGTCAACAGGGGCGTTACATATGGCGACGTCCTCGCCAAATTAAAGGGGGCGGTAACTCCTGCGGAGTTCGGGGCCCCGGACGGGTTCGCGGTCAAGGTGACCGCTACCGGAGCCCGTCTTTTGGAGGTCCCCGGCGCGACAAGCGGCCCATCGGCTGACGCCCTGGCTGAAAGGCTTAGGGCGTGCCTCGGTGCGGACGAGGCCCGCGTGTCCAGGCCCACCAAATGCCTGGATGTCAGGATTTTGGGCCTGGACGACTCCGTCACGGAGAGTGAGGTGGTGGCCGCTGTGGCCAGGGCGGGAGGGTGCCCTGCTGACCAGGTCAGGGCGGGCACTATCCGTCCGGACAACTCGGGGCTGCGCACGGTGGTGGTGAGCTGCCCCGTCACAGCGGCCAAGAAGTTGAAGGAGGGCAAAAGGCTCTTGGTGGGATGGGTCTCGGCGCAGGTCAAGCTGCTCGAGACCCGGCCTCTGAGGTGCTATCGCTGCCACGTGGGCGAACACGTGAGCGTTAAATGCACCTCGGAGGTGGACCGTAGCGACTGTTGCTTCCGCTGCGGTCGGCCCGGTCACAAGGCTGGCTCGTGTACCGCCCCGCTGCACTGCAATGCATGTGCGGCGGCTGGCAAGCCGGCCAATCACCGGGTCGGGAGTAAGGGCTGCTCCCCTCCTGCCAAAGCCAAGGCCAAAAGTAGGCCCTCCGCCGCCCCCGTCGTTTCCGCCGCCGCCGCCACTGCCGCCGCAGTCGCCGCTGCCGCCACTGAGGAGGTCGGAATGGACTGCCAATAATGGCCCCATTCCGCCTCCTCCAGGCGAACATCAACCACTGCGCCGCTGCTCAGGATCTCCTGCTCCAGAGCATGGCGCAGTGGTCGATCAACGTCGCCGTGGTCTCCGAGCCGTACTTTGTCCTGCCCAGGGATCACTGGGTGGCGGACCTGGACGGCTCGGTGACCATCATCTCGTCGGCCGCCGCCGGTACCCCGACTCTTGAGGCTGCTCAAAGAGGCCGGGGTTGTGTCGCAGCACGGTTCGGAGAGCTCGCTGTGGTGGGCGTGTACTTCTCTCCGAACCGAACTCTCGCCGAGTTCCACAACTCCTTGAGGGAGTTGATCACTGTCGTCGTCGGGTTCCGTTCCCTCCCCGTGCTCGTCCTCGGGACTTCAACGCCAAAAACTTGGCTTGGGGTTCCCGGTTCACCGACGTCCGGGGTAGGATGGTGGAAGACTGGGCCCTTGAGACAGGCCTAGTCGTCCTGAACCGGGGTTCTGTCCCCACGTGTGTGCGGATGCAGGGCGAGTCGGTGGTGGACATCTCGTTCGCCAGCCCTGCTCTGTCACCGCGTGTTGTTGGCTGGCGCGTCATGGAGGAGGTGGAGACGTACTCCGACCACCGGTATATCCGGTTCGACGTCTCCGCCGAGTCCGCAGACCCGCCGGTCAGACAGGCCCCATGTGGCCCGCGTTGGGCGCTGAAACAGCTGGACCGGGAGCTGCTCCTGGAAGCCGCCATCGTGCAGGCCTGGGTGATACCACCGGTCAGGCCTGCCGACGTTGACGATGAGGCCAAGTGGCTCCAGGACGCCATGTCCAGGATCTGTGACGTGGCGATGCCCCGGATCCGGTCGAGGCAACAGAAGCGCCAGGTGTACTGGTGGTCGCAAGAGCTGGCGGCTCTGCGCAAGGCGTGCACTACTGCGCGACGCCAGTACACTAGGCACCGCAGGCGCCGTATCCGTCCTCCTAATGCGGAGGCGAGAGAGGCGGAGTTATACGAGGGATACAGGGCGGCGAAGGCCCTCCTCAAGGTGGAGATATTGCGGGCCAAGGAGGAGGCCCGCCGAGAGATGCTGGGGACTCTGAATAGAGACCCGTGGGGACGCCCGTACCTAATGGTACGCGACAAGCTCCGTGCTTGGGCTCCCCCGCTCACTCAGAGTCTCCGGCCAGAAGTCTTGGAGGAGGTGATTGGCGCCCTGTTCCCCCGACTGTGGAGGGGCTTCACCCATCCGTATATGACTCCGCCCCCTGCGGTGCCCGACGCGGGCTACAGCGACGACGACGATGACATCGTCCCAGAGGTGACCGAGGCAGAATTGAGAGCGGCGGTGCGCCGGATGGGCGCCAAGAACACCGCCCCAGGACCCGACGGCCTGCATGGCAAGGCATGGGTCCTGGCCTCAGAGGCTCTCGGGCCTCGATTGATTGGTCTCTACAGCGCATGTCTGGAGAGAGGCCAGTTCCCGCTTCTCTGGAAAGCGGGCAAACTGGTCCTCGTGCGGAAGACGGGGCGCCCTGCGGACTCTCCGTCCGCGTACCGGCCCATAGTGCTGCTCGACGAGGTGGGGAAAGTCTTCGAAAGAATCATTTCGAACCGCCTCGTCGCGCACCTGACGGACATTGGGCCGGACTTGTCGGACGGCCAGTTCGGCTTCCGCAGAGGGCGCTCCACGGTGGACGCCATCATGCGCGTTAGAGACCTCACGACGGGGACTGCAGTGTCCAGGGGTAAGGTCGTAGTGGCGGTGTCTCTGGACATCGCCAACGCCTTTAACTCACTGCCCTGGAGCTGCATCTTGGAGGCACTCCGATATCATCGGGTGCCTACCTACCTCCGTCGTGTAATCGAGGCTTACCTGACGGACAGGTCCGTCAGCTACCCCGGTCACCGGGGCGAGTGGAACCGGCGAGAGATGTCACGCGGTGTTCCACAGGGTTCGGTTCTGGGGCCGCTCCTGTGGAACATCGGCTATGACTGGGTGCTGCGCACCGACCTCCCGAACGGCGTTAGCACAATATGCTACGCCGACGACACGCTGGTGCTAGCGCACGGGAGGTCGCACCAGGCGGCGGCCGACTTAATGGCGACAGCGGTTGCGACAGTCGTTGAAAGAATCCGGCAGTTGGGACTCGAGGTGGCGCTCCACAAGTCCGAGGCCATGTGTTTTCATGGCCGCGGGAACGCGCCACCTCCGGGTGGGTCCCAAATAACGGCGGGAGGGGTTACCATCGGCGTCGAGACGGCGATGAAGTACCTAGGACTCGTCCTCGACAGTCGGTGGAACTTCATAGAGCATTTCCGACGTTTGGCTCCAAAGTTGGAGAGGACGGGGGCTGCGTTCAAACGCATCCTCCCCAACCTCGGGGGGCCAAACGCCTCCTGCCGGAGGTTATACGCCGGGGTCGTGCGGTCCATGGCCCTCTACGGCGCCCCTGTTTGGGCGCCGAACTTGTTGCGGCGTCCTGCTCGGACGCTGCTCATGTCACAGAGGGTCATGGCGATCCGAATGATCCGCGGATACCGCACGATCTCTGGGGAGTCGGCGAACCTCCTTGCCGGATCACCGCCGTGGGATCTGGAGGCGAAGGTGCTCGCGCGCGTGTATAACATGCGCGCGGAGGCACGTCGCCGGGGCGAAACTCCGCTGCCGCGCCAGATAAGTGCGTGGCGGGATGAGCTCCGGCGCGATCTCATGGCGGAATGGCAGCAACGACTGTCGCAACCGAGGGCTGGGCTCGCTGCCATTGCAGCGGTAAGTCCCCTCTTTGAGGAGTGGCTTGAGAGACGCTACGGCGTCCTCACCTACCGCCTGACGCAGGTCCTCACCGGACATGGAAGTTTCGGGAGGTACCTGTGTCTGATGGGGCGGGAGGAAACGCCCGGGTGTCATCACTGCGAGGGCCGCCCTGAGGACACGGTGGAACACACAGTGGGAGAATGCCCTGCGTGGGCTGAGCACCGCCGTGCCCTCAGGGAAGTGATCGGCGATGGCGACCTCTCGCGTCCGGGCCTAGTGCAGGCCATGATGCGGAGCGAGGGGGACTGGGATGCCGTCTCCTCCTTTTGCGAAGCAGTCATGCTAGCTAAGGAGGAGGCGGGACGCGCGAGGCAGCGAAGCGCTGCCTCCTCGCAACCCAGCCATCGCGAAGGACACACCGGGCGTCGGGGATCGCGGGACGATCTCCGGCCACCGTAAGCGCGGGCCTGCGGACGGCGAGCATGGGTGGCTCCCCGTCCGACCAGAAACAGACCCGAGCGTACGGCGCGTCGCGTTCCGCGCGCGCCTCAAAGAGCCATCAGACCACCACAGATGGGGCCCAATAGGGCCGATGCCGGTTCGGAGTCGCGGAGAACCTAACGGGTAACCGGGGCTCCGGCTCGACGTGCAGGAGAAGGAACGGGGTGGTTTTTAGTCAGTAAGAGTCTGACACTCCCTTCCGCCTCACCCAGGCGGGAGCAGTCATTCGATGATTTTCCCCCCTTAAAAAAAAAAAAAAAAAAAAAAAAAAGACTATTTATTAAAATAGTGAAACTTAAATCTCGACTGTATTAAAATGGAAATAGTTTGAATACTAAGTGTAATTATTGTATGTAGTTAAATTATTATGGTTTTAAGAAATTAGTAGAAAAAGAATTACGTACAGAAAAAATATTGTTCAATGTTAAAAAGACAAATTGTGTCATCATCAATTTGGGAGCATGATAGAATATTCGATATATTGAATTGATTACAAAATAATTACCCACTGATTTAATTCAGACACATTAACTAATACATTTCCGTAAAACAAAAAATAACTATTATCGGAATGCCAATGGATAAGGAATTAAAATCGACCCTTTTTGAGAAAACCAAGTCATTCTGTAAGCACTGTACCCTCCATGGAGTATACTACTTCTACAAGGCTTCCAGTTGGAGTGCTCATTTGTTATGGGCTATGATCATCGCAGCCAGTATGGCGCTGTGCTGCTTCCTCGGCCACATGATATGGGAGAAGTTTGTCATCGATCCTACTTTGACTGTGGTGAGTAAGCCAAACAAATTATGTTATAGAAATATTTTTAACTTATAATGGTATTGTTTTCTACATGCGTTATGCATCTGTTATTCCAAACACTTTTTATCAATTTATATCTTTTATTTATACCTAGATCAACAGACGTACTTTTGTTATAACGAACAAACCAACGATGTGTATAATATTATACATTAACTCTTTCGCATTCATAATATTACACGTCTGATTGATAATATTACACATGTTTTTTTAATTCTCAGTAGTACCACTGAGTCTGGATTTGTGCCCGGTATTTGACAATAGGTTCACCCCCCATTACATGGGACTCATAAAGATAAATAGTGAAAAGTAGATGTTATATTGTACAGTGATATTAAATGCCGTAATGTACACCTCCGAATACTTATTCGGGGATAAAAGGCGTGATCTTATGTGATGTTTATGTTTTGTAATATTACATGATACAGTGTAGTAACATTCTTTTTTTTGTTAACTTTATGTACTAGGTTTGATTTCCCTGTCATAATACATATTTTGATGGCAGTTATTAATGAATTCAATCGCGCAACTATAGAGTAAAATGTTATATCAATGTCTGCGTAGGAAACGGTTATTACGTATTGTGTTACGGAACTGATTGTACCCCACTTATTTATGTCCGACAGACGAGAAAATAATCAGATTGCGTAAGACAGGCTAATAACAAACATACAAGAAAGAGAAACAGATTTCTCTAGAGGTTTAAAAGCCTTTTCATTCTAAATGAATTTCTGAATCACAGAATTAAAGTACAATAAATATTTGGTCAAAACAAAAAGGAAAATAAGAGTATTTACAAAGTAACCCAAATTCTGGATAAATCTAAAAATATCGTAAGTAGTCCAAATTATTTACATAAAAGATAGCTAGTCTTTTGAGATATCAACCCTCTCCTCTTACACGAGGCTTTACTATCTACCTTAGAAATTTTACGAAAGAAAAATCTCTGACAAGTATACTGTAAGATCAAAATCAAATATGGCTGCTATGTACTTCGTAAATGGTTGCCAGTCTAGCCCTTTTCTAGTGTATTCTTTTCTCATTGTTAGTTCACATTTTTATATTAATATTTTTTATCATTTGATTGAATACAAGTAATATGATAGTGAACAAGAAATATTGCCTGTTCTGGACTTGATATTCGAGGTTAGCAAAGCATTATTGAATTGTTTTCTATACTGCGAAATTGGAGATATACCAGGACATCAGACATAGACAGGATATCCACGAAATCTTACTAGACAGTGTTAATAAAATTAAATGAACTCCGATAATATTAAAAACAGCATTTTAAAAACGTTTCCAGTCTTGTAAGAAATAATAAATCACATTTCAAAAACACGAAGTTAAAAGATGTAGCGACGTGGCACAAGCATGTCTTAATACATTATGCAAGAAGTGCCACTTTACAATGTTAATGAACATCGCTACATGCTTGCTTAGCTCTTCCAGTCGTTTGTTATAAAGACTGGCTAATGAATTTCTAGCTAGAAAATTCCTACATTCCTCTATACGATATTAAACTGCATGGTTTATGGACTTGATAATAGATAAAAGAGAATTTAAATATAAATAAAGACACAAGTTACATCCATGAATCGAATCAAGTTACTTGCATGTTGATCCCTATCTATCTTGAAAATAAAACGTATTTTTTAATAATAAAAAACAGAGCAAGTACTAGGTAATAATTTTTGAGTTTAGTTTTTTCCCATTTCGTCCAAAAAGTCACTATTTACAAATGAATGTTATCATTTGTTATCATTTTTACTCCAGGCTACTTCTGGATTTTTTTAAGAACCTAATAAATAATACTTTGCCCGACCCGGGAATCAAACCCGAAACTACTTGCCCGGCAGTCGTCCTTGCGACCACTTATCTCTATCGGCCAATTTACTATCTCTATTATTATGTCCAATAGTAACCGGACCTCTTGAGTCCAATTCTCGTCATCGTTACATTCTTCTTAAACAAAAAAGGATTCCTTTGTAACAAAAGTAATAAACGAACAAACACCCAGAATATGTTACACAACACCTTTCCTGTAACATTTCCATTTGAATGACTTGTCACTCATATATTTTTTTCTATACTTATATTTACATTCGGGGTTCTCGGTGAAATACAGTCTGGAGTTACGCTGAATACATATGCCGTAGGATTACGATTTGTTGCGAAAAATTTGACACAATTTTTTCGCAATAAAATCTAGCGCTTTGAAGGAATTGGCAGTTATTTAGTGTACCACATATTGTTAGTGGTTTTATGTCACGTCCTAGTTCCGCTCTGATAGTTTCGCATATAAAAATAACATTCTTTTTTTTATTGGAAAATAGCGTCAGAACTTTATTTTATTATTTCCAGTTTCTTTAAATATAATAAACACCATCCAGAGCATTGAAAGTAATAAAAATTTTGCTTTTAATAACCAAACCTGAATTTTCTCCTGTATTTTTGTAGATTCTTTAATCACAAATACTATCAATCAATAATAACTAACAAACAAAATATCAAACAACAACAAAAATTACGCAAGAATTTTTATAACACTAAATAGACAACTTTAGTACTAAAAATAAAACAAAATGTATAAAATTTTATACCTCTATAAAACAAACAATAAATAAACAAGCTAGTGAACAAAGATAGAGTAACTCAGTTTGAGAGTTAATTTAGAAAAGGAAATTGCGGAGGGCAGGCCCTCTGTAACTATTGCGGAGTAACACAATAGTTAGGAACAATTTACCCACACATTTAATTCAGTTAACAATTATAATTGTGGCGATGTTTATAACATTATGAAACAAAGTAAAATATTATGTAATTGCATATTTAACTTAATCTTTTGCATTGAACTGGTCGTACTCACGGCTACTGATTAAATAGATCCGTGTTCGATTCCTGGATCAGATAAAGTATTAATGAGGGTATTTTAGTAACCAGAATATTTTCGGCAATTACATGGGACAGGTAGAATAGGTGTACAATTGTTTCTTCAATTTTTTTCTATGTATACAGTACAAATGTCTATCGCTAGCTGACCCTTGTGGGAAGAAGCAACATAGCTGATAATGTGATGTTAAATGTATAACATTCTCTATTAATCTACGAAATTCGAAGTTTACGTAAAGAAATATTTTACTTCCTTTTCAATAAGGAAAACCTATTGACAAGATTTGTAAAAAAAAGGTGACGTACAACTGAAACGTGACCGGGGTAAACTAGAACGGATCTTGGAAACACGTGCTAAATGACGTGGACAGCAGTAGGAAAAATAGAAATAATTCTATCGGTGGTAACTAAATATTAAACTTTATACAGAATGTAAATGTAAACGGAACGCTTCCAAAAACGCAGACAATATATATATATATATATATATATATATTATATTTTTTTAATTATTTTTTCTATGTATTATTCTTGCAACGTCGGCCTTGATTAAAATTATAATAAAAAAGAAAAAGAAAACATACAGTCGAATTGAGATGCTCCTCCTTTTCAAAAAGTCAGTTACTAAAAGAAAAAATTGAATCCGTACTTAAAAAAAAATAAAATTTGTGTTATACCGCCACCTATTTTCGTTTTTTCGAAACATTCCGTTCACGTTGTGTGAAGTGCTGTAAAAATTAAAATTCTTTGCCTATTTTGAGAATCACAACTGAGGCCCCAGTTCCACAGTTGCACTGACGCGGCTGTTCATTTCTGTTAGAACCTTTGTGGTACACTTTACTTTATTAATTACTAGCTTTTACCCGCGGCTTCGCTCGCGTCACAATAGGATAAAAGTAGCCTATACCAATACACACAGCCATCTATACCAATTCTTTTGTTTTGCCTCGGGAATACCAAAATTTTCCGGGATAAAAAGTACCCTTTCATTTAATCCGGACTTCTAATTTTACGTCTGCAAAAATTCAAAGCAATCGGTTCAGAAGTTACGGCGTGAAAGCGGAACAAATAAAAAAACAAACAAACTCACTTTCCCATTTATAATAGTAAGGATGAGTTAGACAGTCGCGACGCAGCGACTGTCGCGCTGCTACTGAATATGAGCCCCAAGCATGGCCTGAAACTAGTCGAGTTCCTCATCAAACAATGAGCTGAGTAAGCCGAAATACATACTAATTAATTTAGTATATCCCACGAAAGTAATAATATAAACACTTTAGTTAGGATTCAAGAAAGTGTCTTTGCTTTATAACATAGTATGAAACTTACTCTTAGATACAATAATAGATCTCTTGGACTTAGTGGTTTGGTTTATTTAGGGAGGATTATTTATATTAAGGGATAATTTGATAGTAGGAACCTTAAACATTGTATTGTTAAACGGGAAGTTAGAGTAGTTACCACAAATCCATAATTCAAGGTTTAAGCTTTCCACAAGTAGATTTCTCTCTAGGCGGTCGTTTCGGAGTCTATTCAATACCGAACAAGAACTTTATGATATTGGTATTTTCGATCAATTTGTACGTTTACGTAACGATTTACTTACTGACAATGCGACATTAATTAGTATATATTAATATTCACCGAATAATAAACTAGGTTGACAAATTGCAATTGGCCCGGATTTCCAGTCAACTATACCTAGGTACTTTGTAACTTTTAGAAATATACTATTTCTAATGCTCAACCGTGGTTTTACCGTCAACTGGATGAGTTTCCTGCTCGTTTTTCTCCATTTGAATCTAAATTTTGGAATGAGCACCTAGCTTCACTGATGGACAGACTGACAGACTATTATTTTGTACTAGCTGTTCCCCGCGACTTCGTCTGCGTATAATAATGACACCTAGAAAATTTTGAAATTTTTAACCGACTTAAAAAAAGTATGAGGTTCTCAATTCGCCTGTGCATGTGCTTTTTTATGTTTGTTTGCCGATATCTACGTTATTTATGGACCATTTTAATTTTTTTTTTTTTTTTTGTAAAGAGATAGTGACGGAATGGTCCCATGTTTTCAAAAGTACCAATTTATGGTTTAAATAAAATAAATGCTTTGACTTTCTGATTTTTGAACTCACCGAACTCTATCTTGGAGCCATACACAAATTATACTCTGAAAAATCAAATCAAATAAAAACCAAAATACCATAATGTTTGGCGGATCAGTAGTCTAACTTTTAGTCACGTGTTCAACATGACATTTCTAAAACCTTATCTCACTGTAAATATACTAAACCTACACTTTGTCCAATAATAGAAGTATCCAGTCATCATGAATATCAGAAAACGATTCTCTTAGGCAATTTTATAAAAAATAGACAGGCGTGGGAAGTCACCTACTCATGTAGTACGATACATTTGAGAATTGCTTAAAAGGTACATTGTCGATACGCCTACTGCAGATCGTGATCCGAAAATGGGGTACCTAATACTTAATATCTATTAGGTTTAATCTTCGTAAAGATTTCATATTTTTATCATACATATTATACATAAGTGTGGGAGAGCCATGCTTTGGCACGAATGGGCCGGCTCGACCGGAGTGATACCACGGCCTCACAGAAAACCGACGTGAACCAACGCTTGCGTTGTGTTTCGTCGTGTGAGTGAGGTTACCGGAGGCCCTCGATCCTCAAACTCCTTATCTCCAAAAGGCCGGTAACACACTTGTAACGTTTATGGTGTTCCCGGTATCCATGGGCGACGCCGATTGCTTACGATCAGGAGATCCGTCTGCTCGTTTGCCGTAAAAAAAATCATGTATATTCGATGGGCTGATGTTTCACCACTATCTCGCCTGGTTGTAAGCGATGATGCAGTCTATGATGTAGTACGTGGACCCATAACCAACCTTGTCACTCGCACTTTGAAGACACTATTTAGGAAATACAAGCTCTGGTAAAGAATTCCACTCCTTGGTAGTACGCACAAGGAAACTTGACGAGAAGTGCTTCGTGCGTGTGGGTAGGACATCTACCATGAATTGGTGACGCTTCGCTGATTGTCTTGTGGTACGATGATGGAAAAGACTCGGGGGAAATCAAGGTGTGCAACTCCCCCCAAGTAATTATGCTAAAGTATACTTATAAAGTGTGATAAAGGTATTAGTGACACCAATATATCCTACTTATAAGTACGCTAATTGAAAACCACAACCAAATCATTCTTAAGGGAGCAATACGATAAGTATGTCTTGGAGGAATCCTTACTATAATATTATAAATTGGAAAGTGAGTTTGTTTGTTTGTTCCGCTTTCACGCCGTAACTACTAAACCGATTGCTTTGAATTTTTGCAGACGTAAAGTTAGAAGTCTGGATTAAATAATATGGTACTTTTTATCCCGGAAAAAAATTATATTCCCGAGGGAAAACAAAAGTATTGGTATAGATGGCGCTGTGTGTAGCGGTATATGTCACATAGGCTACTTTTTATCATTTTGTGACGCGAGAGAAGCCGCGGGTAAAAGCTAGTAACGAAATAATCCACGTACAGCTTCGTTAATAAAAGATTGTATGTAACTATGGATGTGTTTTAAGATCTCTATAACAAAACCTGGCCTACATTTACTATGCGCACGTACTCGTAATACCTCCTATTAGAGACGTGTCTATTAGTAATATTAGTAATGGTAATAGACAACAGTTTGTGTTAATACCACGACTGACATCTCTAATCAGAATAATAACGCAAGTTCCCTAACTAACTCGGTGGTTACAGTTACAATTATTTAACACTACAACGTTTCTTGGCTTCTACAGGTTCCCTAATGTTATTGGTTACGTAACATAACATAACGTCATGCCTTTTTATCCCCGAAGGGGTAGGCAGAGGTGAACATTACGGCACTTAATGCCACTGTATGTATATACAATATAATACCCACTTTTCACTATTCTTGTTATGAGTCCTATGTAATAGGAGGTGACCCTATCGCTATATACCGGAAAAATCCAAACTCCGTGCTACTATTAAGATTAAAAAAAAACTCAGTAATACATTGCTCGACCCGGGAATCAAACCCTAGACCCCTTACCCGGTAACTTGCGATCACTCGGCCAACGAGACAGTGTTATTGGTTATTGGTATAAACGTCTTTATGTCATGGAACAAAACCTATTTCTACACGATTGCTTCCCAATAAAGTATATTTTTTTAAATTAAATGAGATAAGAAATATAACTTTATATTTAAACTCAATTTGTTAACAGGTGGAAACTACGCACTATTCCATGGTAAATATTCCCTTCCCTGCCGTAACTATCTGCGACACAGACAATGTGTTTTTACCGAAGACAAAGGAAATTACCGACTTACTGTAAGTGACCCATAACAATTTATTTGATTTTAAATACAAACTTTAAATTATAACTTTTATTTGCCATCATTACCGTAATTATTGTGAAAACCAATAAAATAACATGTACCTATGTATTATCGGCGTGACCTATTATTTGTGTACGTTTGTTCCCTAATTACATTTCAGTTGTGTTTTTATTTAATTTTAAGATAGCATTAGTTTCAAAGATGTCTAACAAAACAAACAAGCATAAGGTAAAATCCTTTTTCTTTACACATGAATCAACCATTACACCATAAAAGCAAACCAAAGATACTCCCTTAAAAGTTCCCTCTCACTTCTCTTCAAACAGAAGATTAAATTAAATCAATTTATTACAGTCACTCTTAATCAAGTAATTTTGCTCAACGTAATGTATGAGCAAAGTTCAATGACACAACGAATGTACCATGTTCGTCAGAGCATAGTCCCTACCCTGGCATTCAAGTCGGCTGATTTACGACTCAAACCAAATAGGTTACTTTAAAAGCCAAATACCTTTTTATTGAAATGTAATATCCTTTAATGGAACTTTATTAGAGTGCAGGTGAAGATGGTTTTATAAAATTTGAGCTGAAGGCCTGAAACATTTTGTTGTGGTCCAATAAACTTTGGCATCTAAAATGTATTCTATGTTTTTGAATATTAACGATGTTTTCGAATAAAAATTGGAAATTGTAAGACTAAAACTAGTAAATAATATTTTTCTCGTACTTTTCAGACTTAGAGTAGGTTAAAATTTGAATCTCATTCCAGCACATTGATGGTAGTTAGTAAGAATTTTGAAAATTGAAACCTTTTTGTTTTTTGCTATATAGACCTAATTGCAATTACTAGTCCAACCAGGCAGTGTATTTAATTTGCCAATTTGTTATTATCAGAGAAGCAACACCATTACTAATCAACTTACCTGACTCCACCATCCACCTTTATGATTAATTGATTATAGACTTTAACAAAGAAAACTTACATTTTAGAATCCTTCGCGGCTACAATAATACTGAAATAGACGACTTCTACAAGAGCTTCAATGAGGTGAAACATAATAACTACGTGCCTGAACCATACGTCAGGAAGATGCATTCTCTGCTTGAAGACCTCGGATATTCTTTAAAAATTCTCCTGGATATGGTAATGAAATACTTCTAAATCCCGAGAGGACACCGGTGTCCTTTCTTCACTCACTTCATTATAGACCTTATATCCCATGCTTACAAACTTTTTGTATTTATGAATTTTGTTATTAAGATATACAGCTTGGAAGTGGTATTTCAACTATAGTCAGTCAGTCAGTCAGTAGGTCAGTAGTTTCCTGAAGAGTTTTTCAAGGGATTGGAAGAAATTCGCTCCCTGTACGCTATCTTTTCGCATTTAATTAAGTTATTTGTTCCATTATATATTATTAGGAGAGTGAACCTAACCTAAACTAATTGAGGTACACTGTTTACTATTCAGCTTTGGTACTGGAAATTAAAACTTAATCCTAATATTGACAGTTCCGTTTGCGAGACGCAATCAAGCAACGAGGTAGTTAGTTATATTAGTTCAATTTAAATATAATCTTATTCATATGATATATTTTTACCTCTTGTAATTCCAAAGTTATGTGGTTTTATAATCATAACTACAGAGTTATTTTACACACATATTGAGAGACAAAGCCTGTGCTTTGTCTCTCAATATGTGTATAATAAGTTTTCTACCTTTCAATGTTTCCTCAAAACAAGACTAAGCTTGATCCAATTAGTTTGACTCCTCTGGTTTTTCGGGTGAACATGGGCGGCGCTGATCGCTTACTATCAGGTCATCTGTCAGTTTTGCCTCCTGTTCTATAAAAAACTACTTAGTTATTTATAGCTACTAATTAAGTCTTCAAACATTCAAGAAAAGAGCGTATACCTTTTTGAAAGGCTGGCACCTGTGACGCCTCTGGTGTTGCGAGCGTCTGATCGTTTGCTTCCTATGCCATAATAAAAAAATCAATTTTTCTAATTGTGATTCTAATGCGCCTACCAGACTCTCGCTCCTTGCGCTGGTCATCGCTATGCTCCTCGCTCTGCCATGATTTGCCGCGTTGTTGCCCTCTCTGCCCACACACTGCTCCAATCGCACATTTAATTGCGACGCTCCTATTTCTGGTCCTCGTTGTCTCCTTGTATTGCCGATCCTTTGACTCGCACGCAAAAAACCGTCAAAATAGACAGCAGCGGGCATGTCGAGTAATGTTGACACACTATGCATCTGCCTCATTTCCTCGTTACTTCCCATACCACTTGTCAAGTGTATGGCAGGCGCATTAGTACCTATATTGTACAGACATAATACGCCTCTAAACTTTTATTGACGTCACGCGTGGTGACCTTTACCGACCGGTCATTATTTTCCTTTTCTCTTTCCTCGACGGACGAAATTTCATGAATTGCAAAAATTCTTGAGAAAGTACCTAAGTGTTGTCGACTAACTTTGTGGGATGGTTATATATTTATGTTTCCATATAATTATATTGCATTATAAGTATTATGCGATTCGTATTTGACCTCAACGCTGTGTCTACTAATATCCCAATTGAACAAAATTGATCTTTCAAACCCTTAAGCCACTTCTCTGTTGATTTGTGAAATAGTTAATATTAATAGTTTAATTAAAATATTGGTTTTCCTCAAAGATTCAGGTCGTGTAAGATTAATATTTACGTATATCTATAAGATTAATATTACTATCATAATCTCTAAACTACGTAATACAACCTCATGTCTTTTAATCCTCGAAGAGGTCGGCAGAGATTCTAGTTGCGTGTACTTGTACAATTTATTCCAAAGTTGGCTGCCGCTTCGTGTATCAATCACATGTATCATGCACAACCCTGCTCATAAATATGAGTTCCCAGCGTGGCTTGAAACTAGTTGAATAACTTCGTCAAACAGTTACGTGAACAAGCCGTTAAACATTATTAACAAGCTACTTTGTAACCATTGGCATACTGTTTTAAAATCGTTTAATGAATTCTAGTCTGACTTACTTTATGTGCTGCATGATCATGATATATATAATCATGAAAATAGTTCATACCGTTGATGAAAACAAGAAACGGATTGCTAAACGAATTTAATCAAATGTAAGAAGCAATAGAATGGAATCTATAAGAATGGACGTACGATCGAACAATTCCAAGTATTTAATTTCCATAATCATGAATAAAAGATAAAAAGCTTTAGTCCTCAGAAAATTAATTTATTGCTGTTAAAAATCGTCAAGAATATTTAATCAATTCCTTGAAAGATTATACACGTGTCTGGACAACATTTTTGTTAAACTTACTTATTAAAGTTTAATATTCTACCACAGATTAAACAAATGCATGTGCATATTATAGGCATGTAGGAAAGTTCATTTTCGGGGAGGTATGTTCAGCAAGTGTGGTGATTAATGCTCGCACCTTCACCATGTGAGAAAAGACCTTTGGTCAACAGTGGGCACATATAGAATGTGTGATGACCTCTTTTTTTTCTAGCATAAGCCGGTAAACGAGCAGACGGATCACCTGATGGCAAGCAATCGGAGCCGCCCATGGTCACCCAAAACACCAAGGTGTTACAAGTGCGTTACCGGCATTTTGAGAATTGGGAATTTGAGGCTTGTGGAGGATTCGACGAAACTCAACGCAAGCGTTGTTTCACGTCGGTTTTCTGTGAGGTCGTGGTATCACTCCGGTCGAGCCGGCTCATTCGTGCTGAAGCATGGCTCTCCCACACTTAAAACTAAATGAAATGCAGTTAGTACAATTCTTCTGTTACCTAATATTTATTTTCACATTGCAGTTTAAGAGACCTTGCAGTAATATTACTGTGGAGTGCAATTGGAGATCAAAACCGTTCAACTGTTCCGAGATGTTCCATCCGCTGCTTACAATAGTGGGGCATTGCTGCCAATTCGACATACCATATTTCAAGTAAGTAATTTTTTACCGAGTTCAAATAAAGGAGGTTCTCTGTATGGCCTGTATGCATGTTTGTATGTTAGTTTATTTGACGGCAATAATCTCGCGATTGGCTGAGGCGATTTCGATACGGTTTCCGAAATAGTATTTGTTATACCTAAGAGCAAGTTTAAGTATATTAACTGCCTGTTTTAAACGTAGTCAGTTACTAGTCACTTTATATAGGATTTAAAAAAAGAAAGAAAAATCTTTATTTCACGCCAAAAAACAAGTGAGAGTCATTGTATTAGTAGGTACTGATCGACTGGGACCAGACTGACGCAAAATGGGACCAGTTCAGCTCATATTCCATAAAATCAACTATAGTTTTAGCTTTCATTACAGAAATTAGGATAGAAAGGTTGTCATCAGCTTATTTTTTGACAGTCGTAGTCTAAGTAATGGCCTAACCTGAATCTGACACGTAAACCCTTTTAGTACGTTCATTAATTGAATATTTGTAACTAGCTGTGCCTGCGACTTCGTCCGCGTGGAATAGTGATTCACAGCTCCTCCCCCGTAGGCGATAGTGTGATAATATGTAGCCTATATGTGAACCCGACCTGTTGGTAATATTCATGCAAAATTTGAAATAAATCCATACAGACAAACAGACAGAAATTCTATAAACCATATTTTTGACTTCGATATCGATTTGTATTGTCGCTTTCGTGAGACATATTAAATAAATTATTATGTTTTCGGCTTACTCACGTAATAATTTGACGAGGAACTCGACTAGTTTCAAGCCATGCTAGAGGCTCATATTCATGAGCAACATTTCGCGACCCGCGACGCGGCGACTGTCGCGCTGCTACAGTAGCACAGTAAGCCGAAAACATAATAATTTATCGATACCTACCCATTGTAAATCATGCCCAAGAATTCTTTGAAAAATTATTCAATGTACAGTTTTCACTTTCCTACAATTTTATTATAATATGTAGGTATAGATTACTATAACAAAAACAGTACGAAATCCTCTTATAAAAATACCTACACAATAATGTAACAAATAGGTAAGAAGACAGTACTTAAACACGGCACATGTAAAATACTAACTTCTACAAAAGGCTTCGCATTCGGTCTCGTATAAAGCCTTGGACCATAAAGTACATCTATTCCAAAATTCATCACAATCCTTTCAGCCGATTTGAGGTGATTAAGTAACAAACGTAAACACACAAACACCAAGTCTTTTCCATTTATGACATTAGTAAAATTGCACAGTTACTGAAATAAAATCTATAAATACGAATGTATTTCACAAGTTTCATATTGACACGAATAACATTTCAAGTTCACCATAAATCAATAGAGGCAAACTTATCGCTATCAAAAATGAAGAATGAATTCAGATTTATGAACTAAAGTTTATAAAAATAAATAAAACATTTATAAAAGCACTTAAGCAATTTTATCTTGGGACTAAAATAGAATCCTTACTATTATAAATGGGAAAGTGAGTTTGTTTGTTTGTTCCGCTTTCACGCCGTAACTTCTAAACCGATTGCTTTGAATTTTTGCAGACGTAAAATTAGAAGTCCGGATTAAATAATAGGGTACTTTTTATCCCGGAAAATGTTGGTATTCCCGAGGGAAAACGAAAGAATTGGTTCAGATGGCGCTGCGTGTATTGATATACCTCTAGGCTACTTTTAACCTTTTGTGACGCGAGCGAAGCCGCGGGTAAAAGCTAGTAGTTATCTAAAAGACAAGTTGACTAATCGAGGAGACGTGGGTTTTTGAAGTAACTCGTGTTTTAGGGAGCATGCAGACAACCAGACAAATTTTATTTCTGGTCTGGATTCCACTGAGGCCTTGGACGTTATTGTGAACGGACAAAGTTCTAATGGACATTCTGTGGTAAGTAGAGTTGTGTGTTTCTATATGTGTAGCTGATTTCTTCATCTTTTATATTATAAGTTAATTATTTTTTCTTCACGACTGCCTCGTTGGCCGATTGGTTGCAAGTGCGACTGCCGGTCAAGGGGTCTCGGGTTCGATTCCCGGGTCGGGCGAAGTATTACTGGGTTTTATAAATTCTCAGTAGTAGCACGGAGTCTGGAATTGTGCCCGGTATATGGCAATAGGCTCACCCCCTATTACATGGGACTCATAACATAAATAGTGAAAAGTGGGTGTTACATTGTACAGTGGTATAATGTACACCTCTGCCTACCCCTTCGGGGATAAAAGGCGTGATGTTATGTTATGTTATATTTTCTTCAATTGTTAGCGTGTAACATACAATAAGATTCAAAACTCGATTAAACATCTTACAAAGTTTCATCCTGATGAAAATGTTGAAAAATAAGCCAACAGAGATATCCACTTAATCCCGTAAACTTTATCTATCATGCCAAATACCGATAGAGTTTTTGAATCGACTTTTACTGATATGTTTTAGCTTCTAAATACCTGTATTATCTTCCACATTTGTATGACAAGTCAGTTTGATAACTTTACGTGTGTACGTGAAATCATTACAGATCGCACCTCAAATAAAGTAAATAAATATTTTATAAAGTATTTCATCACGATTAATATCACTTGGTAACCATTTTGGTAAATATTTCAATGTCCAATTTTTTAAGTTGTCAACAAAGTAAACTAAACATTTTTTCTTCTTTCCTTCCCTAACACTTCGGTCCCGTTGAATATTAATACCGAAACATCAACTGGCCATTAATCAAATATTCATGGATTGGTCTGACACTTTGTTTCGCACCAATAAACATTTATATTTACCCTGAACCCACTCACTTTTGCCCCTTTCAACAGAGTACACATAGTCGACAAACAATAGAAATATATATCGGGACAATTGCTACCCAATTACACATTTTAGAATATTTTCTGTGACAAAAATATTCTCGTGGGATAAAGGAAAACGGCATAGCTTATACTCGTATAGGGGTAAGCAAATATGCTTGCACAAAAGGGATTTTAGCTGACAACAAAGAAAGTACAAACGGCATCAGACAGACACTTTAAACGAATTCACTGGCAGCAGGAAAATGGCACCGAAATAAAAATGCTGGTGTATACTAAACAAAGTAAAATTAGAAGCCCTTTTTTGTTTTTTTCGTATTGAAAATAAAAAGTCTTTGATCGATTTTTTATTTTTTTTATGTTTTTATTTATTAACACTTCTGTATAATAAACATACGATGGCGGACGTAATGCCGTGTGGCATTCTCTAACAGTCAACCATGGGGTGATGCAGAGATGCGCAACAGTAGGTGTAATAGGTACAATGGTTTAATTTATGTGACACAGAAAAATGTATATAAATAAATTTATGTTGTTCAAAAACTTTTTCAATCAAAATATTTAATTGAATAGGCAAATGCATAAAGTATTTTTTTTATAAATACAGAAAGCTATTTGTAAATAAAAAACAAACAATTATAGTGAATCTCTCTATGAAGCAACAATTTACGTTCTTAATAACTGCAGACAATTTAGAAATTCAATACCTATAATACTTTGCCGGCCGCAAACACCTGAGACTGTACTTAAAAGCTTAATAACAACCAAGATAGTGAAAAGAGACTGATATTACAATTGAGTAGGTATAATCGTAATGTAGACTAGTTTTAACATAGAGTTCTTTACATTAAATAATGGAATTAAAAAATATTTGAAAGTAATAACGATTGACATTTTAAGCAACCATAATTACTGTATAGCAGATAAATGATATGTCGTGATGGCCCGGAGGTTTGAGACTAATGTCAAATACAAATGTAAACTTTTCCAAGTTTTACGTACTGTTTAAGAACTTTTAGACACCACTGACAAACGGTGAAGGAAAACATCGTGAGGAAACCAGGGCTTATGATTTTTAATTATAAGTTTGAAGTCATCGACCCGCATTGAGCAAGCGTGTGTGATTGATGCTCAAATCTTCTCCGTGCGAGAAAGAGATCTTTAGTCAGTAGTGGCCACTTAAAGGCTGTTAATGTAATATGATTATTCATAACATAACTGCACGCCTATGATCCCCGAAGGGGTAGGCACAGGTGCACGTTACTGCGCTTAATGCCACTGTACAATGTAACACCCACTTTTTACTATTTTATTTTATGAGTCTCATATAATACGGGGTGAGCCTATTATCACTACATATTATAAAACAAAGTCGCTAACCGCCGTCTGTCTGTCCCTATGTTTTGATGCGGTTTTATTTAATAGATAGAGTGATTCTTAAGGAAGGTTTACTTATATGTATAATACATGCATATTGCATCCGTGCAAAGCCGGGGCGCGTCGCTAGTGATAATATATATTTTGATAATTTATAAGTAGGTATGTATATTTATTTTGATCCTTTGTTCCAGCTGTACGTGTACGATTATAAAGAAAAAGTGACTCTGGTCGACAGTTTCTTTAGTTTGACGCCACAGTCGTTTTTCGACGTCAACATCTACGTGTGGGCCATCGACTCCTCCAGTTACGTCAAAGCACTGCCACTGTCTGGCAGGAAATGTATTTTGGATACGGTGAGTTACTCTGACAAAATTAAATGTTCTTAAGTTTTTGTTTGAATTTTGATCGTAAGTACTGATTGATGAAGTGTAAATTTGTTTGAAAAGAACGCTCTGATAATTTTGATTAAGACATTTGCGACACAACAAGCATTGAATCTAGCCAATCTAGAGGCTCATGAGCAGCATTCTGTGTCACACAACACTGCGACTGTCGGGCTACTACTTGAATCTAGTCAAGTTCCGCGTCAAACAGTTACGTGAGTCAACCGACAAACATAATATTCTTACAAGAATCCCTCTCCCCGAAGCCTGGACCGAGCGGAATAATATAAAAAGGGTGACAATTGTAGCATTAAGTTCAGTCGGTCGTTGCAGTTGGATGGAGTCGGGCGAATATCGGTGATATTGTTTATTACTTAAATATTGTGCCTAATTGTTATTGTGTACTTGTTGCTATATCAGCTACTTATAATATTGTTGTATTGGGTTGGTAATACTCATATCAATTGTACTGCGCATGTACCCTTCTATTTATTAATAAATAAGACATCAGTCTATTAGGTTATGTTTCCGTGTGTTTTTTTTTTAAATCTTATTTTTAGTGTTTATAATCAGAAGTGGGATTCGCTAAAATACGCGATCTAACCGCTGGTGTTATCCAACTTAGTTTTGTGATTTAATTTTTGTGATTCTACCCACATTTCAGTTTAGTTAATCAATCGCGTTTGTGACGATGTCGAATCGCTCAAGTAGATCTAGGATCGCGACTGCATCGAGGAACGTGCTAGGTCTGGTACTAGTCTAGGTCCCGTGATAGGCATAGTGTTTCTAGTGGTCGTGATACGCCTCCGTTACGCCGTCGACATCGAGAACGTTATTCGAGTCGACATCGCGATAGTTCTAAACAACGGTTCGTATCCCGTCACCGCCGGGACTGCTCTCGTGAAAATAATAGTGCCTTGGAACGAATACTTTCACGGCTAGACGTTATTGAAGGTCAAATTCAATCAAAGTCCAAAGTTTCGCGTAGTGATAACCCGTCCCATCTAACGAACGGCCGACCATTACCGCCGCCGTTGCTGCCTTTAGCGGTTTCAATACCTGAGCAAGGTTCTGCAACCGTTGGGGACGTAACGACGGAGGGTACGACGCGTAGCACCTTGGATACGGGAGGTGATGCGCAAAGTGCAACAACCAGCATTGTTGGGGCATTATCCGAATTGTTACGCTCAAATACCCGCAATTATTACATTTCGCTATTTGATCCGAACATTCATGACTTTGACATTTGGTGCGCGGAGGTAGATCGCGCACGTAACTTGAACAATTGGGTGATCGCGAATGTTTAGGACGTGTTGGTGCTTGCTTACGGGCGAAGCGCGTTCGTGGTTAAGTGATTGGGTGACTCATGATAGGTCGTGGAGTAATTTTAAGACCGAATTTAAGTCCTTGTGTCCGCGTTACATTGATCTAGCCTCTATTTTGTTTGACGTTATGTGCACCAAATCTGATAAGTACCCAACTTATGCCGAATATGCTCGTAGATCTCTTTTACGTCTTCAGGTTGTGAAGGGTTTATCAGACGAATTGAAAATTGCCATAATTCTGCGTGGTATAACCGATCCTCAGGTTAAGGCAGCGGCGGTCAATGCCAAACTAACGCCAAACAATTTAATCGAATATCTTACCGTGTATGTTAAACCTAAAATTGAGTCACGTAATTCTAATAATTCCCGTCATTTTCATCATTCCTTGTCGCGAAAATACCCAAATAATGATAAGAATCCGAATAAATGCGGCAACTGTGGTCAGAAGGGTCATAAAAAGTGGCAGTGTCACAAGAGGGTTAACACTGACGCTCCAGGTCCCGCGCATGTCTCGGATAAATTAAAATTAGTGCCGTCTTCAGACACGAGTAAAAGATCTGTAATGTTCTGCACTTTTTGCCGACGTAACGGTCATTTGGTTGACACGTGTTATTCGAAACAACGTTCACTTAGTACGGTTCCAAATAATAGTGCTGTAAATTTTTGCAAAAATCTACCCCCAAACGAAACAACCTAATTTCAGCCATAATTCAAGGTAAAAATATAGATGTGTTGATTGATAGTGGGTCCGAGATTTCTCTTGTTTCGCAATCGGTTTTAAAACATTTCAATTTTAATAGACAACCTACTTATCGTTTATTACGTGGTATAGGAAGTCAGGAAATTGAATCGACATCATACATAACGACTACTATTGAATTTCCTGAATTAAAACTTGAAGTAGATTTGTATGTTGTTTGCCCAGAGTGTATAAATGCTCCAATTTTATTAGGTACAGATGTACTTAATCGTAAAGGGTTGCAATATACTCGGGTTGACGGTAAACAACTACTTAGTAGAACTGATAGCTCGTTATCGGTTTGTCACATTAATACGGTAAAATTTGAAAATATTAAAACTCCTTTGGTCAGTGAGGATAGAAAACGTCTTGTGAACCTTATTCAGGAGTATTCAGACATATTTATTTCGGGAACAGCGACGTCTACTGTTAATACGGGTTCTATGGTGATTAAGTTAACTTCTCTTACACCGGTGAGTCATCGTCATAGTATAAAGAACACAGTAGGTTATCTAAGGCCGCCCGCCGAGTTATTAGCCTACTCTTGCGTTGATCCCCAGGGTTGTCACTTTTACTTTTAGTTAATAAGAAAGTAAATTTGGAAATACATTTATATGGAAAAATGCGACTCGGCTACGCTCTTAACAAATCAGATAAACTGTGAAATAAACAATACAATGCCACATTTTCTTATAATATTTAAGTATAGTAGGTAATTACATTTCTGGTTGAGTAGGAACTATGAAGAATGATAAGAGTAAGAATAAGTAAGTAGGTATCTCATCATCAAGTACCTACAAATTATATTATGCTAGAAAAAGTGACTAGCTTACCTTTCCTGTTCAATAGGTACCTAATCTGAACAGAGACAGTTCTGGAATCGATTAATTATTAAGACACCCAAACACACAGCAATACGTTCTTCTACGATTATTAGACATTTTTTATTTCATTGAACAGTGCCGAAAAGCCGTGAAGCGCGCGCGAACCTCGTACAGTGTCAGCCCTGCCTGGCGCACTGAGAAACGGGTCGAGATTTTGTTAAAGTGTGCGTGCGTCGACGCATAGATACTATGGCGCACACATATAAGCCGCGCGCGGAGCATTTGTATGAAGATAACCTACTTTGTTCTTTATACTATGTCATCGTCCTTATAAATTATCTGTTGATGAGAAGCGAAGGGTGCGCGATATAGTCAATGATTTGCTTAGCAAGGGAATAATTCGCGAATCACAATCTCAATACGCTAGTCCTGTCATTCTGGTCAAAAAGAAAGACGGGAGTGACAGGATGTGCGTCGATTACCGCGCGTTAAACACCATCACCGTCAAGGAAAAATTTCCTTTGCCACTTATTGACGACCATATTGACAAACTTGGCAACTTTAAGTACTTCGTCAGTTTAGATATGGCCACTGGTTTCCACCAGGTACCCATGGCGGATGACGATTCTATTAGTAAAACCGCGTTTATAACACCTGAAGGCCATTACGAGTACTTGAAGATGCCTTACGGCTTAGCTAATGCTCCAATAGTCTATCAGAGGATTATAACTAAGACACTTAAACCTTTGATAGATTCGGGGAGAGTACTCACGTATATCGATGATGTGCTGGTCCTATCTAACTCGGTTGATGAGGGTTTACAATATTTGCGGGAAGTCTTAACTATTTTAAAGAATGCTGGGTTTTCAGTTAACCTTAAAAAGTGTACCTTCTTAGATACTGAGGTAGAATATTTGGGTCGCTTAATTCGACAGGGTCAGGTAAGACCGAGCCCGAGTAAAATTGAGGCTTTGATTCGGTCACCAAAACCAACAAATGCAAGACAGGTTCGCCAATTCCTAGGCCTTGCATGTTATTTCCGCCGTTACATCGCGTCTTACTCGACCAAAACTGCTTCTATCGCTAAATTATTAAGAAAAGGTGAACCCTTTTCGTGGGGGCCTGAGCAAGATACAGCTCGCGATTATATTGTTCATTGTCTAACTAATGAGCCAGTCTTAGCGATTTTTGACCCTAAGTTACCCACGGAGCTCCATACGGATGCCAGCGCTATAGGTCTGGGAGCAATACTGTTGCAGGAGCATGACGGCAAGAGAAAAAGGGTAGTTGCTTATTTTAGTAAATCCACCCAAGGCGCAGAACCGCGTTATCATAGTTATGAGCTTGAAACTCTAGCTATCGTGCGAGCCCTTCAGCACTTCCGGCACTATTTGATAGGTATTGACTTTAAAATAGTGACGGATTGCAATTCTTTAAAGTTAACTGAGCGAAAGAAGGATCTTCTTCCGAGGATGGCGCGCTGGTGGGTGTATTTACAGGATTTTAGGTTTACTCTAGAATACCGGAAAGGCTGCTTAATGCAACACGCGGACTTCTTGAGCCGACATCCTCCTGCAAAGGTATCCCATATTCGCAATGTGAACCACTGGGCAAAAGTCGCTCAGACAGCTGATGAAGAGACACAGGAACTAATGGCTAAGGTAAGGGATGCACAATTAGATTCTAGTAGATATGTGATTAAAGGTGATTTGTTGTTTTATAAATATACGCCCATTGGTCATGACTCGCCCTTATTGTGTTTCATACCAAAGGGGCATAGACTTAGCCTATTGAGAATTTTTCACGATGATCATAATCATATTGGTATTGATCGTACCACTGACCTTGTATTGCGACATTTTTGGTTTCCCAATTTGCGTAGATTTGTTCGAAAGTATATTACACATTGTTTGATTTGTTTGGCACATAAGAAAGTTCCCAGGGCTCCTTTAATGCCAATTGAGTCGTGGACTAAACCCGATGTTCCCTTCAGTGTAGTACACACCGATATTTTAGGTCCGTTACCGGAATCAAACGGTTATAAACACATTTTAATCATAATCGATGCTTTTTCAAAATTCTGTTTATTATATCCGATTTATCGACAAGATACTAGTGAGGCCAAAAGAGTATTCTCAAACGCAATATCGCTCTTTGGGACCCCTGCCACTATTATTTGCGATCGTGGCAGAATGTTCGAAAATTCGAGTTTTCAAAACTTTGTGAGTGAAGTCGGTTCTTCCATACATTACATTACGCCTGGCATGCACCGTGAAAACGGTCAAGTTGAAAGGTACTGTCGCACTGTGTTAAACATGCTTCGTGTTGATGTTGAGACCAAGCGTATGGAATGGTCCGACGCGCTATGGAAGGTGCAGCTAACTCTTAATATCACCAGACAGACCACAACACAGATGTCACCACTGCAGCTGCTCGTCGGTGTGGACGCTGCTACTCCGGTTATCAGGTCCCTTGTACGAGACTTGGCGCTAGAAACATCGCAGCCATCCAACCGAGAAGCCCGGCTCAGCCTCGACAGACAGCGGGCATCTCAACTACTGTGCGCGAATCAGCGCAGTCAGGACGATTACGTCAACCAGGGTCGTCGGCAGCCGCATACGTTTGCTGTGGGGGACTTCGTCTTCGTGATCAAAGCCTCGCAAAGCACCGGGAAGATGGACTCTGGTATGCGTGGCCCGTACAAGGTGATACGCGTCCTCCAGCATAACCGTTACGAGCTCGAGTTATTAGCGGGCTCCTACGGGAAGAAAACACAGGCCGCCTCTGAACACATGGTTCGGTGGCGCGGCGAATGGACTCCGGACACATGTTCCGCATTTTTCGAGAATGGTCAGTACGCACCATCTTAATAGCGTATGGGCATGCAAACGTGGGGCCTCTGCCGTTACATACCTATTGTACGAACTACGACATTACTGAGTGTTGTACATTCGTTATTTACTGGCATGCAAACGTGGGGCCTCTGCCGTTATATTTCCACAGTACGAACTACGACATTACTGAGTGTTGTACATTCGTTATTTACTGGCATGCAAACGTGGGGCCTCTGCCGTTATATTTCCACTGTACGAACTACGACATTACTGAGTGTTGTACATTCGTTATTTACTGGCATGCAAACATCGGGCCTCTGCCTTTACATTCATCTGGCATGCAAACATTGAGCCTCTGCCGAAACAATTTTATTTTGTCACTGTGTTACACTTGGTAAGTGGTGTTGCACATTCATGAACCATATGCATTTATATGCATTTTTGTGTAATAATGTATAGCGAGTGGTAAGAGTCCGGAATCTTATCAATCGTGTTACATTCCTTGAAATAATTAAATTTTATTTCACTAATAATTTAAGTCATTGCCTAAGGACGCTTGAGTGCACGCTTGCGCCTGCAGCAATGATAAATACTCTTCATGTCCATTTCATGCACTTAAATGATTCACATCACAAATAAATTTAAATATGTCATTTTCTTATGTGTGCCATGTGCATTTCAGAGAACTTAAACGATGATGATCAGGATGAACGAGACAGACAGGAAGAGTGTGGTGATGATGGTGGTGAAGCGGTCGAGCACGCCCTTGTGTCAGGAACGGCCGTCTTACAAGAATCCCTCTCCCCGAAGCCTGGACCGAGCGGAATAATATAAAAAGGGTGACAATTGTAGCATTAAGTTCAGTCGGTCGTTGCAGTTGGATGGAGTCGGGCGAATATCGGTGATATTGTTTATTACTTAAATATTGTGCCTAATTGTTATTGTGTACTTGTTGCTATATCAGCTACTTATAATATTGTTGTATTGGGTTGGTAATACTCATATCAATTGTACTGCGCATGTACCCTTCTATTTATTAATAAATAAGACATCAGTCTATTAGGTTATGTTTCCGTGTGTTTTTTTTTTTAAATCTTATTTTTTAGTGTTTATAAGAATATATAATCAAGTAATGATTGAAACAAACTAAACAAACTCACTTAGTAGATAGACAGGCGAGGAGAACAATGTGGATCTTTACTGATTACTTTAATATATTTTTGAATACTGCACAATCTGCAAAACAATGCAATTTTTTAACCGACTTCAAAAAAAGGAGGAGGTTCTTTATCTTTCATTCTTGTAAAAAAAAAACAAAAAAAGTACCTATTAATTTATATCGGTCAACATTTAATAAAATTGTCATTGTTTTCATACCAGCGCGGGCCAACGAACGGTGTTGAATGTTATTGAAACAAATATCATTAATCATTTACTTTTGTCCTCCAATGACATGGGAGTCATTGGTGAATATCCGTGAGATGTAGGTCACTGAGCCAAGTATAATTAGCTAATATTATTGTTTGTTATTATCTTTCTTTCCTTATATATACATAAAAACAACATTGACATTTTACTTGTTTATTTTTCCGTAAAGATAGCTCCTGAGTTATTTGTGTATGTGTATTTTGCGATGTATCTCCTGTTTTAATGTGTTTGCTTTGTATTTAGATGTTGTCAGATAGTAAAAATGTCATATCTACTATATACTACCATCCTTACATAATATATATTATGTATAACACATTGACAATGAAATCAGTACCTATGGAGATATAACATAACATAACATAACATAACATCACGCCTTTTATCCCCGAAGGGGTAGGCAGAGGTGCACATTATGCCACTGTACAATGTAACACCCACTTTTCACTATTTATGTTATGAGTCCCATGTAATAGGGGGTGAGCCTATTGCCATATACCGGGCACAATTCCAGACTCCGTGCTATTATTGAGAATATTTAAAAACCCAGTAATACTTTGCCCGACCCGGGAATCGAACCCGAGACCCCTTGCCCGGCAGTAAATGCATATATAGTAGCATAATACAATAAGAATAAAGAGAAATATATCTTATGCAATGTTATTCTGTTCACTATAAAAATGTAATACCGTGGAAAACGAAAACTGCAGAGAATAAAATGACGGAAAAAATCTATATCAACTGAAAAACAGTTTTCAGACGGCAAACAGTATGGAAATGGCAGTAAAATTTTCACATTTCTGCATAATTATTTGGGAAAGTTTTAATGTAATCTGAAACGTAAACCATGAAAAAGATGTGTAAAAAGATAGAATAAAAATATGTTAAAAGAACAGACAATGTGAAGTGTACAACTGTGCTGCAGTTTTGTTTGTTACTTCATATCTCATAATAATTTATTTTATTTTGTATATGGCAGCTAATTTGCTCCTACAATGCTATTTTTAGTACAGGTATTTGCGTTGTGTTTTGTCGTGTGAGTGACCAATTACCCCCTTCCCCAGTCTCCCCAATCCCCGAATCCCCCACAATCCTCGAACTCCTAATTCCCAAAAGGCCGGTAACGCACTTGTAACGCCTCTGGTGTTTCGGGTGTCCATCGGCGACGCCGATTGCTTACCATCAGGTGATTCGTCTGCCCGTTGGTAAACGGGCCGGTAGCATAAGCCGGTAGGCTTATTTCTTTAAAAAACCAATAAAAAACTCCCAAATTTTATTGAAAAAGACAAGACCTAATTCTAAATATTATTTTTATACACAAGTGTCAAAAATTAGTAAAAAAAGAAGCAAACATACGAACATAGTACCTCCTACTTATTTTTACGTCAGTAGTTCGTGGAGATTGCTCCACTGGTTTCAAGCCACGACAGGGGCTCGCAATCATAAGCGAATTATATTTAATCGATAATTTATTATATCGATATATCTTGAATATACCCACGATGCAATGCTACTAAAGAATTTTTAAATGAGTACAAACAATTCAATTCAAGTAGTATTTTCTTCATAAGAAGGATATTTCAATTCATGCTGAATAGCTGTGCTTACAGTAAGATAATCGAGAAACCTTTGACTAAAGATCAAAGTTAAATGAGCATCAAAGTGAATCGGTTTTGCAAAGACAAAGGAGTATTTATGAGTACAATTATCAAGAATACTTGTGTCGTATTCCACGACACAATGGTTTGATGCATCGCTTGAAATGCAACTGTTTATATATTGACACTGAAATATAATTTTATTATAAATAAAATAAAAATCAAAACGACTACTTACTGCGTTGACTTTTTTTTTACACTTTATAGGTCGACGTTTGACCACCATCTCGCCTGATGGTAAGCAATGATGTGGCCGACGATGGAGCACGCTTACCTATGAGCAACCTGTTCACTCGGGACTTGAAGACACCCAAGTCATATTTGACGAGAAACACAGCCTCTGGCAAGGAATTCCATTCCTTAGCGGTTCGCATGAGGAAGCTTGGCTAGAAACAGATAAGGCTGTTAATGTTTTAGCATAGATTTTTAACGTTTTCGGAGCTAAATGTATCTGAAAATTAGTCGAGTTACATATCTTGTTAAACAGTGACGCGAGAAAGCCGTATCTAAAGTAAAAATAAATCTAAAATAATTTCTATGAAGAGTTAATATACAACTAGAGATAGATAAAGTTGAAAGACGCCATTCAAAGACAGAAATTATATAAAAAGCCTTTGTAAGAACGGAAGACTTTCAAAAGGTCAGCGAGAATTTCGTAAAGACGTCACGAGTAGTCGAAATTGAACACAGACGAAGACAGGGCAACCACAGGTCTATCTCAGTGGCCAGAAATTGAGTTTTATAGTTTACAGAATTCCTTCAATCCAAGGATTAAAGTTTCACAAAACGATACTGCGACTTTCAAAATATTAAATTACAAATCAAACATTTTTAATTCCAGCTCCGTCTGGTATAAGTTTTAGTATTTAAATAAGAGTTAGAATTTTCCAATTAAAACTAAGTTTTCATAGAACAAACAGAAGTAATGAGATTTATGATGAACTACCGAACAAATCCTTCAGTGTCTCGTTTCAGACCTTCTTGTTTAGTTTAAGTATTTTTAATTTTAATTTATTTCTGTTTACTGAATATTTTTTTTGGATTTTTTATATTAAATTCCGTAAGGTTGATGTACCTTGATTATTTTGTTTTCTACACTTTTCTTGAGTGTCATGGCTTTGTTAGCAGAGTAACGTATATACGTGATACAACTTTGCATAAGAAGTATGGAGTTTCAATAATTTTGTCACAATTATCTAGTCGCTATAATTACATTTTATTAAAGGCTGCCGTTGTTTTCTTATTCTTTTTAAATAATAAATTTTTATCTGGTTTCTTATAATACACACACACAAAACGTTTAAATCATTTTTGTTAACTATTTTGCATATAAAATACACCTAGTATAGGCAGCTGTTATTATTTCATTTCACTAGCTGGTTTTTTTACAATACAAAAAAAAATTAGACAAAATAATTTATTCTAAAATAATTCCTAACTCCAGTGTTATACGGCATTAATTAGAAAGTGCGATTAATCTTTGTCCCACCCATTTCAACACTATCTTTGATAGCCGATCGAGATAACAATCGAGCTCTCTTCGATATAGGGATTATTTACGTCAAATAACAATTTATTGGTAGCTGCACTAAAATACCAAGACTTATGAGTTTAAGTTTTAAAATGAGAAACTTTACTTTGAAATCAAGACTAAGTACTTCAATAAAAAAGCGATAAAAGATAACAACTTTCAATGGAAACATGTTCCATTTAAAGAAAAAAATATTTTCAAAAAGAAAAGTATTTTTTGTTAAAGTTAATAAAATATTTTGGATTAAATATGTCTTCGTAAAACACTTCGAGTAATAAATAATCTGATGTATTTTCATACTTAATGATATTTTCTAAGTTTTCCTACAAAATGTTACATTTTAATGCCCACTTTAAATACAGGTGCTTAAAATGTCGCTGTCACATTATAATTTGGAACGGTTTTTACATTCAATATAAATAATAATTGCTTAACAAATACAACGTTAACTAATACATTACATATTTTTCACTACACTTTGCAACCATTCGCAAACTGCATGGGTCCCAATTGAAAACCAGTGTTGGGTACTTATTATTGTGCTCAGTTCATACTAAGTTGGCAAATCCTTTCATTCGGGGCACGTTGCCATCTTGTTTTTTTATTTTTTGTTATTGTTTTATTTGTTTGTTTTTTAATTGTTTTATTTGTTTTTTTATAAATATAAATGAGTAAATACTCATATCGTTTCTGTGTATTTGGTACATAACGCCTAATGGCTAATAAATTATTTTACATTTAAAGTCCCTGATGTTTGTGTGTTATTTAAAACAATTTATTTCCAGGACCAAGAAACATTTGCTGGGTTTCACCAAGGATGTATGACTCGTCTGATTTTGAGGAGAGTGGTCAATCGCTGCCGCTGTCTGCCTTTTGATTATACTTGTAAGTTTGTAAACATACCATGTCGTTATATTTAATGTACCTATGCATATACATAATAACTGATGCACAGCCTCACAGAAAACCGACATGAAAAAACGTTATGTTTTGTCATGTTTACCGAAGGCTTAATCACCCCCCTCGCCAATTCCCGAACCCGCAACAATCGTCAAATCCCCAAAAGGCCGGCAGCACACCTGTAACGCCTCTGATGTTTTGAGTGTCCATGGGCGGCGTCGAAAGATGATCCATCAGGTCGATGTTTAGCTTATTCCATCAAAAAAAAAAGAAATATTAACTGGCTGAGCTTTGTGATACTTATAGTCATAATCATT